CATAGCATCCAAAACTGTTGGCGTTATATTCTGAGCGGCGTACATTTCATATGAGTAAAAATATAGAATAGTTGGATTTTATATGTCATAATAGAACCCACGTGGACCAAGCTTTACTTTCTTCCTGACTGAGTTTTTTAACTCTTCTTTTTCCTTCATTGCCCTCTGCTTGAAGTTGTTGCATCTTTGCATTATGTTCATCTAGTATGTTGCAAATTTCCCATGTCCTTTTTGCCTTTTGGCTCTGGTCGCCCATCTCAGGTAACCTATATCCTAGAAAGAGTTTGTCATAGTCTGTATTTGAGTCTTCGCGTATTGTTTGCATGACTCTTTCCTGAGTTTCCGGTTCAAGCTCTTCAAACAGTGCCTGTCCATATGGAATATGCTCGTTTCCAAATATATGTTTTTGTAGCCATTCTGGTTTTCTTTCCATGTTACCAACTATATCTTTGTGAATGGGAAAGCTTTTACCCAATCTTTCAGTCTTGCGTCGTTTATTTCTGTAGTTGGGTTTTATTTTGTCAAGGACATGTTTTTCAATACTAACATTTCATTTGGTACTGTCCATTTGAGTTTTCTTAAATATTCATCCCTTCTCGATTCATCGCCTGCAAAGTAAGTTTTTATGACATTTTGTAAACTTTCGTTTGCAAGGTCATGTACAATAGGTTCTCTTCCTTCTCCCTCCCTAACTTTCTTTCTAAACTCTTCACCAAATATACCATCTCTATGGTTCTGTGTAGTTCTTTGAGATAAATGTTCTAGAACGTCAGGTGTTATATTTCCATCAGCCATGTTCATTTCATACTGGTCCAAAATATCTGCATGTTTCATATCTTTCAATGGCATTAAAGCCGCGCTTAAAATACCAGCTATATCTCGTTCACCATTGACTTCCATTGCGTCTACAACTTCTTGGAATTGTGGTTGTAAGTTTATGAACCACCTATCTGGATTAGCTTTATGACCCCATCTCATTGTAGTTCCATCGTCTGCAGAAACAAAAGTAGGTTTGTTTCCATCTTGGTTAGGTTCTGAATGAACTTTAAACAATGTTTCATTTCTATATGTTTTCTTGAAATTTAACCTTTTATTTTCACCGAGTTCATCCGAAGATTGAAACGTTTAAATGCTCGTAAGTAAAAAGGGTTGTTGTATTTGTGTACATTTTCTTTCAGTTCTTCCATTCTTTTGCTGAATATTTTCATCTGATGTTGGAGTCTTTTGTATGTCGGCGAACATTTTTCGATATTCTTCTACTATGTCAGCCGAATTTTTTTTAGACTCTTGGAAATATTCCATATTCTCCGCATACTCTTGTTGAGGGTCAAGATTTTTCGGCTGTTCCAAATCTTCATCTAGTTCTGTGAAGTTAGTTTCCAAAGGAGGGACTTGTTCGTTTCCTTCAGGCTCTTCTAGCTGTTGTTGCTGAACTATTTCTTCCATGTCTGGTTGTATCTGAACTTCTTCCTGTGGAGTTTCTTGTACCTCATCTGCTGGCATTTCATATATTCCGAGACCGTTTTCAACAATTTCCCTATCTACGTCATCCGCATTCATAAGCTTTTGTTCTTTCGTTCCGTCTCTATTTTTTACGCGTTTCATGACGAAAGTTGAATTGTCATTTAGCTCTGACATCAAATATCTCGGAGTAAATTCGTTCATGTCATTTGGATGATATGCTATTAAATCATATCCCTTAGCGAGCTTGTATTTTCCAGGTTTGAGATTATATCCGTTTTGGTGCTGAGCCATAAAGCTAAATAGGTTCGGGTCAGTATTTCCATCCTTGAACTTTCCAATAGCTTCTTTATATCTGTCACTAAAGTCAATACTATCTGGGAAACCACACTCTTCTTTAAGCATTTTTTAAGAATTCTTGGTTTCCTTGTTCTCTACTTCTTTTATGTCCTTGCTCTGTTTGTGGTTGTTGTTGTGCAGGGTTTTGAACTGTTGGTTGCTGTGCTGGTTGTTGTGTTGGTTGTTGTGCTGGTTGTTGTGTTGGTTGTTGTGCTGGTTGTTGTTGTTGTTGTGTTGGTTTTGGTGCATGCCTGTGTCTGTGTCCATGTGACGATGTAAATGTTTTAGGTAGTCTGGTGCAGGTGCTTCTCGGAGGGTTTGGTGGTATATAAGTTCCACCAGCTGGCACATATGTTCCATCTGCAGCGTAATGTCCTACCTGACTTTTCGTTTTAAGAAAGCATTTACTAGGTCTGTTTTGGTCTGTTGTAACTCTTTTTCTTGACTTTTCACAACAGTTGCTCTAACGGCGTCATAGGCACTTTGAACTGCCTGTCTCGTTGCTGCATCTGTTATTTTCGTCATATTTTGTGCTACTTCTCTTAACTCTTTGTCGAAACCTTCAGACTTCAGTTTCTTTCCAGATGAGAAGTCGTTCACTTGTTTCACCTTACTATGAAGAGCTTCGAAGGCGTTCTTAAAGTCAGCATTTGTTAAAGCTTCATTTGAACTGTCTTCATCCGCTTGTATTTTTGTCCTTATTGACCCTATAAGCTGGGCTGCTTTAGCGTTGGCTTGGGCATCTAACCAGTCATTGTTAGCTTTTATATATTCTGCGCTTTTCATTGCCTTTTGCATGGCTGCGTCGTTATTTTTACTTTCTTGTGCTAAGTTTTCATACTGTACGGTTTGGTTTTGCAACTGTAAAAGTTTTCTGCCTTTACATTTGCTTCAACTTCTTTTTATACTCATCGCTATCCATATATGTCTTCAGGGCTTTTTGTTTATCTCTTCATTCTTTCAGTACTTTATATTGAGTAGTATGGTTTTTCAAATTTAAAACATCTTGTTCCATTTTTGCTACTTCTGCTGCTTTTTCTGACACTTTTTTCGCATATTCCTCTGTACTTAGTTCTTTCAGTTGTTCTTCTTTCTTCTTTTTCTCTACGTTTAACTCATTGAGTTTCTTTGTGTGTCTGTCATATTCTAGTTTCTTTTCGTTTTCACTTATTTGCTTCTGTATGTCTATGTTTGACTTTTTGACATCTGTTATTTGATTTTTGAGTGAACTCAAATTCATTTGACTTTGAGGGTTATATGCTGTTCCGTCTGCAGCTCCACCATAGCCTGCCATTTTCGCTAAAAGTGCCGCTCTTAAACCTCCACTCTGTGCACCAACAACTCGGTTTAAAAGCATAGGATTGCTTGACATTTGTTGCAACATAGTGGGGTCATTCAGCATTTGTTGTTGCAACTGTTGTTGTGGTGTCAGTTTTACTATTGGATGTTTCAATGCTCTCTTCCTCTTACGTATATTCTTACGTAGCTTACGTGGCATTTTAAGTGAAGTTAAAAAGCGGCTTTTGACAGATGTTTTATTGTGACTTCTTCGTAAAGACTTTGTTGAGACTTCTTCGTAAATGAGTGTAAATGACCCAAAAATATATTTTAGGGTAGAAGGGTATATCTAACCTCTTTTCTAACCTCTTTTCTACCCTCTTGAATTTTCATGAATTTCTTCGTAAAGACTTTGTTAAGACTTCTTCGTAAAGACTTTGTTAAGACTTCTTCGTAAAGACTTTGTTGAGACTTCTTCGTAAATGACCCAAAAATATATTTTAGGGTAGAAGGGTATATCTAACCTCTTTTCTAACCTCTTTTCTACCCTCTTGAATTTTCATGAATTTCTTCGTAAAGACTTTGTTAAGACTTCTTCGTAAATGACCCAAAAATATATTTTAGGGTAGAAGGGTATATCTAACCTCTTTTCTAACCTCTTTTCTACCCTCTTGAATTTTCATGAATTTCTTCGTAAAGACTTTGTTAAGACTTCTTCGTAAAGACTTTGTTAAGACTTCTTCGTAAAGACTTTGTTGAGACTTCTTCGTAAAGACTTTGTTAAGACTTCTTCGTAAAGACTTTGTTAAGACTTCTTCGTAAAGACTTTGTTGAGACTTCTTCGTAAAGACTTTGTCAAGACTTCATCGTAAAGACTTTGTTGAGATTTCTTCGTAAATGACCCTAGTAGTATATTTTTGGTGTAAATTTCATGAAAATTCAAGAGGGTAGAAAAGAGGTTAGAAAAGAGGTTAGATATACCCTTCTACCCTAAAATATATTTTTGGTGTAAATTTCATGAAAATTCAAGAGGGTAGAAAAGAGGTTAGAAAAGAGGTTAGATATACCCTTCTACCCTAAAATATATTTTTGGTGTAAATTTCATGAAAATTCAAGAGGGTAGAAAAGAGGTTAGAAAAGAGGTTAGATATACCCTTCTACCCTAAAATATATTTTTGGTGTAAATTTCATGAAAATTCAAGAGGGTAGAAAAGAGGTTAGAAAAGAGGTTAGATATACCCTTCTACCCTAAAATATATTTTTGGTGTAAATTTCATGAAAATTCTGAGTAAAATGACAGATGTTTATATGACACTTTCTCCGGTTTATAGGACCTCTCTCATATTCTAAACATCAACATCAGGGCTAGAAGGCACGAAGTGCCTGGAAGCCCCACTACCTTTTTTTTTTTTTTTTTTTTATATCGTTATTGATCATGGTTTCATATATTTTCACAATAATTCATTTTACACATAATAAGTAGTATATGATGCGGGTTGTGTGACTTTTTTTGTAATCGTAAGAATTCTCACATAATTGAATGATTTTTGAACATACTTCCGAATAGCAGATTTTAAAAATTTATGAATAATTTATAAAAAGTTTTTATTCCTACAATTCCTATATTACCATTAATAAAAAGAATATATTTTATAATAGTTTCATTTCGAACATGTTAAAATTTATCTGCATTTCGAAAAATTTTATTATAAATGATAATATAATTTATTAAATTAATATATAACTTATGAATTTTTACTTTTTGTATGAAATAAAATTTAGTATTAATAAAGTTATAAAATAAATTGGTGCATGTTAGATGTAAATAAGATATAAAAAGGTGTTTATTCGTATTATTTCAGGTGATTGTAAACAATTAATTATATATGAGCAATGCTCAAATTAGTAAGTTTTTAGTCTGATTAGATCTCATCAGGACAAGCACTGAGGATAAAGTCTATTAGTTGTGTCTTGGTTTTGATGAGAGGAACAGCGGTCATCAGGAGATCACGCTTGTTGGAGCCAATTGGTGTACGACCCTTCCAATTGTGCATAGATCTGAGTGCTGATATGGTAAAGAACTCAAGGACAAAGAGTCTTTGAGACTTTGTAAGGTACTCGTCTTGGTCTTTTTCTTCTTGGATGGTCTTCGTCGAAGCTGAGGATTTGATTTCTTGAGCTTCAATCGGATCATACTCTTCGTCTTTTCTTAATGTAAGTTGTTCACGCTTGTAGTCGTTTCTGAGGACATTGAGACCGGCTTCGAGCTCTTGTGCTTTCTTCGGAGATTGAGAGAAGTGCATCTGTTGTTGGCTCTGCATCTGCTGCATCATCTGCATTTGCTGTTGCATCATCTGTGTCATTATCTGCATCATGTCTTGAGCTGGTGCAGATGTCGCTGGTGCAGGTGTCGCTGGTGTTGAATCTTCTTGGGACATTTGATCTACGGTTAGAACAATAAGTAACGGTTAAACTTCTACTGGTAAAGTTTACACTGGCAGAACTTCTACTGGTAGAGTTTATACTGGCAGAACTTCTACTGTTTCCCTCAAAATTGAATACTTTAGCAGAACTTCTACTGGTAGAGTTTATACTGGCAGAACTTCTACTGGTAGAGTTTATACTGGCAGAACTTCTACTAGTAAAGTTTCTACTGGTAGAGTTTATACTGGCAGAACTTCTACTAGTAAAGTTTCTACTGGCAGAACTTCTACTGGCAGAATTTCTACTGGTTATGACCGAGCTTCACCCACTCTGTGCCATTGAACTCAATGAGAGTGTTTCTGCTTACCTCTACAACACATTAAAGTCCAAGAGAACAATCCTTCTTACAAAGATCTCCAGACGACAGATTCAAAGGGAAAAACTAAATCACAGCTTAAACAGTTGAAAGATTTCAAAAATAAAGTATTAACAGAAGAAGATATTGATGAATTATATAAATTATATAATCCTGAGCCACAAAAACCAAAGCCGAGGTCTAAAGTAGCAAATGTTCAACAGCTAAAGGAACAAAACGCCCAGGTCCTTCAGACCATAAATGATGCACAAGCTTTAATTTATGATTCATTAGTTAAACCATATTCAGCCCGACTTTTAAATGAAGATCAACTTTTGAAATTCATCCTTCAACATAAACTCGAAGCGGGAAAGTATATCAAACCTTTATATACAGCATATTTAAAACAAATGAATAGAATACATCCAGAATTAATGAAGGAAGGAATGAAATCCAAAATCAAAGCAGATAAAATTAAACCACTTGCAACACCAAAACCTCCAACGACAGTACCTCCTCCTCCTTCAGTTAATCCTTCATCATTCACTTTATTATATCCATTTCAAACATTAAAGAAGCAAAAAGATTTTAAAAAGGATTTCAAGATATTAAATAAACCAATTGACCCGAAAATTCAACCGTTAAAGGAAAAATTTAGTCGCCCTTCATTTGCTCCATATCCATATTCATACGAAATCGATCATCTGGAATATTCAAAAGGAAACGTTACTTATTTATTTGCCATTAACATTAACACTAGATATTTATATTGCATTCCGGTGAAAGGGAAAACAGAACAGGAAACAAGAAGAGCTATTCAATACTTACTAGATCATGAAAGAGTAGATAATATCAGGGGTGATGGTGATAAAGGATTTCAGGCAGCTATGACTCATTATTTCCCACAAATTAATTTTTTCTTCTCATCCTCTCCATATACGTTTCATAATAAAATAGTTGATGCGGTAATGAGAACTCTTAGAGATGCGTTAGGGGGTTAACGGTCAGATATACTGGGATGGAAATCATGACTCCATCATACAGCAGTTAGTATATTATTACAATAATACATGGCATAGAACTATAAACATGAAACCGGTGGAAATGAAAAATGATATTTCAAAAGAATGGGAATATATTAGAAAGCAAATGGAAAAGTTAAATGATGTTAAACGTGAACAAATTAATTCGGGGCTCATGAATTTTAAACAAGGAAATAAAGTTTTAATTCATCTCGATTATGGAAAAACTGATAAATCAATGACAAAAAGAAGACGAAGATTTGACACAATAGCTGAATTTGTTAGATATATTAACGGCAATGCATTAGTTGAAGTTGACAATAAATTAATAGAAATTCCGATTTATTTTATTACTCCATTATATTTAAATAATATTTAATTTTTTTTATTTCGTAAGAAATGAGTGACAACAAAGCAGTCAAGAGTCCAGACGATGAATATAAAAAGAAACTAAACAGAATTAAATCAAAAATATGCTATTACAAAAAGAAGCCGCAATGCGGTGGGGTTGAAAACGATAAAGAGAGGAAAGAAATAATCGAAAAATTAGAAACTTACCGTTCAATCCTTAAACTGAGTGAAGCAAAAATAAAAGAATTTAATAGAATAAATAAATTGATTGGAAGAGATGAATTTAATAAAGATGAATTTTTAAACTCAATCCAAATTTAATTTTTATTCCTCTTTGACAACATCTCTCTTTCCATCATTACTGCATAACCACATTTTCTCAATTTTAGTGGTTTGTTATTTTTAACATGTTCTTGCATCATTTTTATCATTTCCTCCCTTGTTATGATTCGTGGTAAATTTTGAGCTTGTGGGGTATCCATTTATGATAAAAATAAAAATTTAAATTATACTGTTCTAAAGTTTGTGACAACATGACATTTTGACAACAGTCCCGGAAATGATTTGTCATGACTTCATCGTAATGAGTGTAAATGACCCAAAAATAATGTTTTCATTAATGGTTTCAGGTTATTCAATAATTAATTATTTTTGAAGAACTGAAGGTGTCACTACGTCACCATGTGTCACTCGGTCATTTAACTTCTCTGAAAAAATGTGACAACATGACATTTTGACAACAACACAGGAGGAAGGCAGTTATGACTTATTTTTGAAGAACTGAAGGTGTCACTACGTCACCATGTGTCACTCGGTCATTTAACTTCTCTGAAAAAATGTGACAACATGACATTTTGACAACAACACAGGAGGAAGGCAGTTATGACTTATTTTTGAAGAACTGAAGGTGTCACTACGTCACCATGTGTCACTCGGTCATTTAACTTCTCTGAAAAAATGTGACAACATGACATTTTGACAACAACACAGGAGGAAGGCAGTTATGACTTATTTTTGAAGAACTAAAGGTGTCACTACGTCACCATGTGTCACTCGGTTAATTAACTTCTCTGAAAAAATGAGACAACATGACATTTTGACAACACAGCAGGATTAATGCAAAAATAAATTCAAATCATACTTTATAAAGCATCATTTACAGGTATTTCATCGTCAGTAAATGAATCCTCATTATCGTTTGGTTCAACCTGTTTATATAATCCTTTCATTTCTTCTTTCAAAACATAACACCATGTTTGTTTACCATTTATTCTTCTCTGTTTCCTATCACATTTATCCTTAATGCTCATTTGGAAATTCTTGTCTTTCATGTCTGATGGTTTGCAGAATAGAGCATTTTTACATGTCATACCTGCACTCAATTCATCATAATGTGTATTTATCCATTCATCTAAAGGATTTGTTGATAATTCAATTAAATCTTGTTTGGCTTCAGTCATCGTATGATTCGTACATTAAATGATGAAAGGTCGTAATTGATAAAATATGTTAAAAGGTTATCATAAAATTCCTTTGTGCATGAATTCATCAAATTCTTGAAGTAATTAAATTGACCCTTGAATTTACCATTGACCCTTAAAACCACGTATCTTCTGTCTCCAACTTCAATTTTGACAGGGTAGACGTTGTTAGTTACGAAAATGAAGTTTGCAACATTCTGAGCAGTTCTTCTGGGTTGATTCTTTTCATTAATTCTAATCTCATTATCCGTAATAATTGATTTCAAAGCGTTGAAGTTTGCGAGTCTGTCTTCACCAACATTCTTGAGTTCATTAAGTACAAGAAACATTTTATTCTCAACTACTGAGTTGAAATTACCCGTTAGCTCACTTATTTCAGTAATGTTTTTACATGAATAACCAGCGAGAAGTTCAGAAATAATGTCTGTGAATCTGTTTTTACCTGTTCCCTGAAGTCCTTTCAAAATAATTGCTGTTTCATTCTTGATTCCAGGATGTTGAATCATTGATGCAATCCAGCCGAGAAGGTATTTATACACTTCATCGTTATTATCACAAATGGCTTCTTTAATGAAATTCATAAACATCTCAATTTTTGAGTAATCAGGCTTTTCAAGAATGTTGTATTTATAACCCTGAAACGTTGAGAAAACATCTGGAGAATCAGATTTAAAGCAAACACCCTTAACGGTTAATGAGGATAATTGATTTAATAGTACGTCCCATGCTGTTATGGTTTTACCTTCTTCTTTAAATAATTTAATCATTTGAGTGACTCTTTCATGTTTGATTGAAGAACGAATGATATTTGATTCATTTTGTCGTGGATATTATAGTCCTTTTGAATGAAATATTTATTTCCACAATCTACAAAACGGATTACACGTGATAAATCCTCAATTACTTCAGAACTGTTTTTATACTGATGATTTTCAGCCTTGCGTCTAATATCTGTTATCAAAAACGAGTCATCAAGTTTGATATCAAATGTTATTTTTGGCTTACGTAATAAAGGTAAAACATATTCATCATAATATTCCTTTTGATAAAGTTTTAGAATCTTCACTAAAACAAATGGAGAAGTCATTAAATGTGCATATCTACTACGTGCTTTTTTCAAAATTACTTTTTGCATTTTCAGTTAAATTGCAGAAATTATAAACGTTATCGTATGCTTCATTAATTAAATGATCCGGTAACGAATTAATAGCTTGAAAAGTGTGAATAATGTAACTTCTTTTCTAAATTCATGTTTCCACCATCATTATGTACTTCAAAATCACAGATGCCATCAACTATGCTCTGGGCAAGTTTATCGTCAATGTTTACATCTTTGTTTTCATTCATTATACTCTTTATTTCTTCGTTCTTCTGTTCAACTCTTACCTTAATATTCAAATCATTTAATATATCATTCACTGTTCTAGTTAATGTTGAATCGTAACTTCCACGAATGAATGAGTATGTATTGATTGGTTCTGTTGCATTCTTTCGAACTCTTGAATCAGCCATGACTACTAATGAACGCTTTGAATCATCCATAGAAGTCATTATGTCAATATCATAATCATTGCAGGAATAACATTTAATCATTCTGTTCGAAACTGAATAGAAGAAATTGGTGTTGCAATAAATGTGAAGACCTCCTGAAGCGGTTTTAACGATAACATCTTTATCCGAAAGTTTTGATAAAATGTCTTTTCTAACTGTTTCTTTAAGTTCATCATTGTACGATTTATTGATATCAACATCTATAATCGTTAAATTTGAAATTTTATTTACTAATAAAGCCATACCAGTTTTCCTTCCTCTTCCTCCATCGTATTTGAGGTGGTTATGTAAATCAATCCTGTTTTCACCAATTCTTTCGTTGAGGGTTTTAGTTTCTGCCACAACTAATTCCTCAGCTAATGAATCAATAACTTTTTCATCAGAAACGATAAAGTTGCTGTTGTTGTTTGTTGCTGTCATTTATATAGGAATAAAAAAATAAAAATAATTTTAAAACTAACTTTATTTTTGGACTGCATCAAATTTTCGTAAATGTTGTCAAAATGTCATGTTGTCACACTTTTTCAGAGAAGTTAAATGACCGAGTGACACATGGTGACGTAGTGACACCTTCAGTTCTTCAAAAATAATTAATTATTGAATAACCTGTGTTGTTGTCTAAATGTCATGAGTTAAATAACCTGGTGACCTGGTGACACCTTCAGTTCTTCAAAAATAATTCATAAATACTTCCTCCTGTGTTGTTGTCAAAATGTCATGTTGTCACACTTTTTCAGAGAAGTTAAATGACCGAGTGACACATGGTGACGTAGTGACAACCTTCAGTTCTTCAAAAAATAATTAATTATTGAATAACCTAAAAACATAAACGATAAAATATATTTTTGGTCGTTTATGACAAAAATAAATGGTTCATTTACTCACAATATTTTTTTACAAAACGACCCCAAACTTTTAACTTCTTTTCTGCAGTTTCTAATGCTATCTTAGCGAGTTCATATTCTCTAAATTCTCTCTTTAAATCTTCTTGTTCCCATTGGTCTAGTTCGTATGGAGAATCTCTATAACCATAATATATCTCACGTTCATGTTCTAATTGTTTTTCGCACATTTTTCTAACTTCTTCTTCAAACAAAATGTTTAGCATTCTCTACTGTATCTTCGAGTTCTTCTTCATCTAATTCTCATGAACTTTCTTGTCTATGGAGTCCATAATATCTTTGACATAAAATGCATACTTTACAGAGCACCATTCAGCAACAAAATGAACGAGGTCAGGATGTATGTAAATACCTTTGAATTCATTCATGACACCCTTTGTAAGCTCATAAAATGCTTGTTTTTGAGGTCGAGCCACTTTTGGCTCCACCGTATTCGTTCATCCAAAACTCAAGAATTTCCTGCATTTTAGCACTATTGAGAAATCTGTTTAAATGGTTTAACTTCCTGCTTCTCTTGCATCTTTGTTGCATTAATGTAACCATCCTTGTCTCTACGTAAGACTTCAATACCGTTATAAGTGCCTTTTGTGAATGTTTCACCATTAGATTTGTTCGTGAATGTTTTTGCTTCGACTGACATTTCTGTTCTTACATACAAAATAAAAAATGAAACCGATTTTAAAACTAACTTTATTTTTGCCTTCCTCCTGTGTTGTTGTCAAAATGTCATGTTGTCACACTTTTTCAGAGAAGTTAAATGACCGAGTGACACATGGTGACGTAGTGACACCTTCAGTTCTTCAAAAATAATTAATTATTGAATAACCTAAAAACCATAAACGATAAAAATATATTTTTGGTCGTTTATGACAAAAATAAATGGTTCATTTACTCACAATATTTTTTTACAAAACGACCCCAAACTTTTAACTTCTTTTCTGCAGTTTCTAATGCTATCTTAGCGAGTTCATATTCTCTAAATTCTCTCTTTAAATCTTCTTGTTCCCATTGGTCTAGTTCGTATGGAGAATCTCTATAACCATAATATATCTCACGTTCATGTTCTAATTGTTTTTCGCACATTTTTCTAACTTCTTCTTCAAACAAATGTTTAGCATTCTCTACTGTATCTTCGAGTTCTTCTTCATCTAATTTCTCATGAACTTTCTTGTCTATGGAGTCCATAATATCTTTGACATAAAATGCATACTTTACAGAGCACATTCAGCAACAAAATGAACGAGGTCAGGATGTATGTAAATACCTTTGAATTCATTCATGACACCCTTTGTAAGCTCATAAAATGCTTGTTTTGAGTCGAGCCACTTTTGGCTCCACGTATTCGTTCATCCAAAACTCAAGAATTTCCTGCATTTTAGCACTATTGAGAAATCTGTTTAAATGGTTTAACTTTCCTGCTTCTCTTGCCATCTTTGTTGCATTAATGTAACCATCCTTGTCTCTACGTAAGACTTCAATACCGTTATAAGTGCCTTTTGTGAATGTTTCACCATTAGATTTGTTCGTGAATGTTTTTGCTTCGACTGACATTTCTGTTCTTACATACAAAATAAAAAATGAAACCGATTTTAAAAACTAACTTTATTTTTGCCTTCCTCCTGTGTTGTTGTCAAAATGTCATGTTGTCACACTTTTTCAGAGAAGTTAAATGACCGAGTGACACATGGTGACGTAGTGACACCTTCAGTTCTTCAAAAAATAATTAATTATTGAATAACCTAAAAACCATTAACGTAAACATGAGACTTTGTCACCGGACTCTTTGAGTCACTTAACGTAAACATTAACGATAAAATTTATTTCTGCAGTTCATCCATTACTTCATTACCTAATTAATTACAGACATAAAATATATTTAGTTCATTCGGTAAGCCTGCAAAGTAGGCTCAAGTATGTTATTGAACGCGGTACCATGCAAATACAGTCACAAATGGTGGCATATAATCTTACCGAAACCTGTTGGATTTGTTGTGAAAGTATGGACATGATTTCCTCCTGTTCAGTTGGTCGAAAAGTCTTTTTTGCTGAATGGTTATAATCTGGAGATAAAACATCATTGCCAGCTTCATATTCTGAGTTGTATAATGGATGGTCTCTTAATGAGTGACTATGGTCACCAGAAAAGTTTGTAGTTCTTGTATGAGTGTGCGGTGGAAGGTTTGCTTCTTTAATTTCTTCGAACCTCCTGTTTGCTTTGAATATCTAGCACAGTATAAGAATTTGTCTACAATCTGCTTCCACATACCAAAACCTAAAACTGTTTCTGGATTTGTTGAGTTCATTGATGTATAAATAGAACCAACAGGATATAATGTTTGAAGAATTTCTGTCTTTAATGTTTGAAGCTCTGTTTTGTCTGCTTTCTTATCATATAAATCTTGAGCAGTGAATTTAACCTTATTTTCATCATCCATGACATAAACATTTTTACATTTAATTTTTTGCATCGTTGTTATGTTTTCATTCGATGTTAAACCTTGTGGAAAGTTAGGAGGTTTACAATATAATGCATCCCATCAGTTCCTTCAACCGTTCCTTCAATACTTTCTATACCAACAGTTGTGAAGAATTCATGTGTATGGTTCTTATCTGCTTTTTTATCTAATTCATCGTTAACATATTCCTTATCTGCTTTAAGGTCTAAACATCCTGAAACCCATCCTGTATCAGCTTTAGTTTTTAAAATCTTTGATGTCCATTCATGATACCATTCAACCATTTCTTTAATTTCATTATCTTTTTCATCCACGTATTCCTTATCCACCTTCTTCATTATGTCGTTTAGGAAACCTTCTATGAATTCCTCATTTAAATTAAATCTTCCAATCTTCAAAACTTTAGGAAATGCATTTAATGCGTAATATCTCTGTTCTTCTGGTGGAATTGATGTTATATCATCCGTTATACCTTTAATTTAGAATTCATAAATAAAATTTCTTTTATATTTGATATCACTGCACCACCCTTGCAAACGAATTCGAAATGGTCATTTTTCAATACTATCTCCAAATCTCCATATTTCAACCTTTGCGTTTGTTCTGCCGTCTTCGAATTATATGCATATATGGCGTATGTAATGGTCTGAGGGACCTGGGTGCTTTGTGCCTTAAGTTGCTGTTGTTTAATCATTTATTATGATTTAAAAATAAATATTTAATCTGTTATCTCATCAGCTATTTTCTCTATTTGAAATTGCCATAATATTTCATTCATGAATTCTAAATCACAATCAAATAGGTCAGTTATTCTAAATTTAATATTGATAAATCTTTTGAATGAAGAATAAATGAATTCCCGGATAATTGAAACGGATATGATAAAGAAAATGTGTTTAAGTTGATGGATAAAATGTTTTGTATTGATGGGTAAGAGTTAGGGTCTAATGTTTGATGTGAAAATCTCATTGGAGTATTAACTTTATCACATTTGATTAAAATGAAATTGGAACCAGTGTCAGAATACAAAACATCCCCAACATCTTTTTCAAAATTTAATATCCCCAACAATGAACGAAAATGAGGAGTACAAAATTTAATTTTCAGCGGAAATTTAATAAGGTTATTTATTTCATCAAGTTCAAAAAGTTTATCAGGTTTTGATTTAAAATTTTCTTCAGACCATTACATACGCCATATATGCATATAATTCGAAGACGGCAGAACAAACGCAAAGGTTGAAATATGGAGATTTGGAGATAGTATTGAAAAATGACCATTTCGAATTCGTTTGCAAGGGTGGTGCAGTGATATCAAATATAAAAGAAATTTTATTTATGAATTCTAAAATTAAAGGTATAACGGATGATATAACATCAATTCCACCAGAAGAACAGAGATATTACGCATTAAATGCATTTCCTAAAGTTTTGAAGATTGGAAGATTTAATTTAAATGAGGAATTCATAGAAGGTTTCCTAAACGACATAATGAAGAAGGTGGATAAGGAATACGTGGATGAAAAAGATAATGAAATTAAAGAAATGGTTGAATGGTATCATGAATGGACATCAAAGATTTTAAAAACTAAAGCTGATACAGGATGGGTTTCAGGATGTTTAGACCTTAAAGCAGATAAGGAATATGTTAACGATGAATTAGATAAAAAAGCAGATAAGAACCATACACATGAATTCTTCACAACTGTTGGTATAGAAAGTATTGAAGGAACGGTTGAAGGAACTGATGGGGATGCATTATATTGTAAACCTCCTAACTTTCCACAAGGTTTAACATCGAATGAAAACATAACAACGATGCAAAAAATTAAATGTAAAAATGTTTATGTCATGGATGATGAAAATAAGGTTAAATTCACTGCTCAAGATTTATATGATAAGAAAGCAGACAAAACAGAGCTTCAAACATTAAAGACAGAAATTCTTCAAACATTATATCCTGTTGGTTCTATTTATACATCAATGAACTCAACAAATCCAGAAACAGTTTTAGGTTTTGGTATGTGGAAGCAGATTGTAGACAAATTCTTATACTGTGCTAGATATTCAAAGCAAACAGGAGGTTCGAAGAAAATTAAAGAAGCAAACCTTCCACCGCACACTCATACAAGAACTACAAACTTTTCTGGTGACCATAGTCACTCATTAAGAGACCATCCATTATACAACTCAGAATATGAAGCTGGCAATGATGTTTTATCTCCAGATTATAACCATTCAGCAAAAAAGACTTTTCGACCAACTGAACCAGGAGGAAATCATGTCCATACTTTCACAACAAATCCAACAGGTTCGGGTAAAGATTATATGCCACCATTTGTGACTGTATTTGCATGGTACCGCGTTCAATAAACATACTTGAGCCTACTTTGCAGGCTTACCGAATGAACTAAATATATTTTATGTCTGTAATTAATTAGGTAATGAAGTAATGGATGAACTGCAGAAATAAATTTTATCGTTAATGTTTACGTTAAGTGACTCAAAGAGTCCGGTGACAAAGTCTCATGTTTACGTTAATGGTTTTTAGGTTATTCAATAATTAATTATTTTTGAAGAACTGAAGGTGTCACTACGTCACCATGTGTCACTCGGTCATTTAACTTCTCTGAAAAAGTGTGACAACATGACATTTTGACAACAACACAGGAGGAAGGCAAAAATAAAGTTAGTTTTAAAATCGGTTTCATTTTTTATTTTGTATGTAAGAACAGAAATGTCAGTCGAAGCAAAAACATTCACGAACAAATCTAATGGTGAAACATTCACAAAAGGCACTTATAACGGTATTGAAGTCTTACGTAGAGACAAGGATGGTTACATTAATGCAACAAAGATGGCAAGAGAAGCAGGAAAGTTAAACCATTTAAACAGATTTCTCAATAGTGCTAAAATGCAGGAAATTCTTGAGTTTTGGATGAACGAATACGGTGGAGCCAAAAGTGGCTCGACCTCAAAACAAGCATTTTATGAGCTTACAAAGGGTGTCATGAATGAATTCAAAGGTATTTACATACATCCTGACCTCGTTCATTTTGTTGCTGAATGGTGCTCTGTAAAGTATGCATTTTATGTCAAAGATATTATGGACTCCATAGACAAGAAAGTTCATGAGAAATTAGATGAAGAAGAACTCGAAGATACAGTAGAGAATGCTAAACATTTGTTTGAAGAAGAAGTTAGAAAAATGTGCGAAAAACAATTAGAACATGAACGTGAGATATATTATGGTTATAGAGATTCTCCATACGAACTAGACCAATGGGAACAAGAAGATTTAAAGAGAGAATTTAGAGAATATGAACTCGCTAAGATAGCATTAGAAACTGCAGAAAAGAAGTTAAAAGTTTGGGGTCGTTTGTAAAAAAATATTGTGAGTAAATGAACCATTTATTTTTGTCATAAACGACCAAAAATATATTTTATCGTTTATGGTTTTTAGGTTATTCAATAATTAATTATTTTTGAAGAACTGAAGGTGTCACTACGTCACCATGTGTCACTCGGTCATTTAACTTCTCTGAAAAAGTGTGACAACATGACATTTTGACAACAACACAGGAGGAAGGCAAAAATAAAGTTAGTTTTAAAATCGGTTTCATTTTTTATTTTGTATGTAAGAACAGAAATGTCAGTCGAAGCAAAAACATTCACGAACAAATCTAATGGTGAAACATTCACAAAAGGCACTTATAACGGTATTGAAGTCTTACGTAGAGACAAGGATGGTTACATTAATGCAACAAAGATGGCAAGAGAAGCAGGAAAGTTAAACCATTTAAACAGATTTCTCAATAGTGCTAAAATGCAGGAAATTCTTGAGTTTTGGATGAACGAATACGGTGGAGCCAAAAGTGGCTCGACCTCAAAACAAGCATTTTATGAGCTTACAAAGGGTGTCATGAATGAATTCAAAGGTATTTACATACATCCTGACCTCGTTCATTTTGTTGCTGAATGGTGCTCTGTAAAGTATGCATTTTATGTCAAAGATATTATGGACTCCATAGACAAGAAAGTTCATGAGAAATTAGATGAAGAAGAACTCGAAGATACAGTAGAGAATGCTAAACATTTGTTTGAAGAAGAAGTTAGAAAAATGTGCGAAAAACAATTAGAACATGAACGTGAGATATATTATGGTTATAGAGATTCTCCATACGAACTAGACCAATGGGAACAAGAAGATTTAAAGAGAGAATTTAGAGAATATGAACTCGCTAAGATAGCATTAGAAACTGCAGAAAAGAAGTTAAAAGTTTGGGGTCGTTTTGTAAAAAAATATTGTGAGTAAATGAACCATTTATTTTTGTCATAAACGACCAAAAATATATTTTATCGTTTATGGTTTTTAGGTTATTCAATAATTAATTATTTTTGAAGAACTGAAGGTGTCACTACGTCACCATGTGTCACTCGGTCATTTAACTTCTCTGAAAAAGTGTGACAACATGACATTTTGACAACAACACAGGAGGAAGGCAAAAATAAAGTTAGTTTTAAAATCGGTTTCATTTTTATTTTGTATGTAAGAACAGAAATGTCAGTCGAAGCAAAAACATTCACGAACAAATCTAATGGTGAAACATTCACAAAAGGCACTTATAACGGTATTGAAGTCTTACGTAGAGACAAGGATGGTTACATTAATGCAACAAAGATGGCAAGAGAAGCAGGAAAGTTAAACCATTTAAACAGATTTCTCAATAGTGCTAAAATGCAGGAAATTCTTGAGTTTTGGATGAACGAATACGGTGGAGCCAAAAGTGGCTCGACCTCAAAACAAGCATTTTATGAGCTTACAAAGGGTGTCATGAATGAATTCAAAGGTATTTACATACATCCTGACCTCGTTCATTTTGTTGCTGAATGGTGCTCTGTAAAGTATGCATTTTATGTCAAAGATATTATGGACTCCATAGACAAGAAAGTTCATGAGAAATTAGATGAAGAAGAACTCGAAGATACAGTAGAGAATGCTAAACATTTGTTTGAAGAAGAAGTTAGAAAAATGTGCGAAAAACAATTAGAACATGAACGTGAGATATATTATGGTTATAGAGATTCTCCATACGAACTAGACCAATGGGAACAAGAAGATTTAAAGAGAGAATTTAGAGAATATGAACTCGCTAAGATAGCATTAGAAACTGCAGAAAAGAAGTTAAAAGTTTGGGGTCGTTTTGTAAAAAAATATTGTGAGTAAATGAACCATTTATTTTTGTCATAAACGACCAAAAATATATTTTATCGTTTATGGTTTTTAGGTTATTCAATAATTAATTATTTTTGAAGAACTGAAGGTGTCACTACGTCACCATGTGTCACTCGGTCATTTAACTTCTCTGAAAAAGTGTGACAACATGACATTTTGACAACAACACAGGAGGAAGGCAAAAATAAAGTTAGTTTTAAAATCGGTTTCATTTTTTATTTTGTATGTAAGAACAGAAATGTCAGTCGAAGCAAAAACATTCACGAACAAATCTAATGGTGAAACATTCACAAAAGGCACTTATAACGGTATTGAAGTCTTACGTAGAGACAAGGATGGTTACATTAATGCAACAAAGATGGCAAGAGAAGCAGGAAAGTTAAACCATTTAAACAGATTTCTCAATAGTGCTAAAATGCAGGAAATTCTTGAGTTTTGGATGAACGAATACGGTGGAGCCAAAAGTGGCTCGACCTCAAAACAAGCATTTTATGAGCTTACAAAGGGTGTCATGAATGAATTCAAAGGTATTTACATACATCCTGACCTCGTTCATTTTGTTGCTGAATGGTGCTCTGTAAAGTATGCATTTTATGTCAAAGATATTATGGACTCCATAGACAAGAAAGTTCATAGAAATTAGATGAAGAAGAACTCGAAGATACAGTAGAGAATGCTAAACATTTGTTTGAAGAAGAAGTTAGAAAAATGTGCGAAAAACAATTAGAACATGAACGTGAGATATATTATGGTTATAGAGATTCTCCATACGAACTAGACCAATGGGAACAAGAAGATTTAAAGAGAGAATTTAGAGAATATGAACTCGCTAAGATAGCATTAGAAACTGCAGAAAAGAAGTTAAAAGTTTGGGGTCGTTTTGTAAAAAAATATTGTGAGTAAATGAACCATTTATTTTTGTCATAAACGACCAAAAATATATTTTATCGTTTATGGTTTTTAGGTTATTCAATAATTAATTATTTTTGAAGAACTGAAGGTGTCACTACGTCACCATGTGTCACTCGGTCATTTAACTTCTCTGAAAAAGTGTGACAACATGACATTTTGACAACAACACAGGAGGAAGGTATTTATGAATTATTTTTGAAGAACTGAAGGTGTCACCAGGTCACCAGGTTATTTAACTCATGACATTTAGACAACAACACAGGTTATTCAATAATTAATTATTTTTGAAGAACTGAAGGTGTCACTACGTCACCATGTGTCACTCGGTCATTTAACTTCTCTGAAAAAGTGTGACAACATGACATTTTGACAACATTTACGAAAATTTGATGCAGTCCAAAAATAAAGTTAGTTTTAAAATTATTTTTATTTTTTTATTCCTATATAAATGACAGCAACAAACAACAACAGCAACTTTATCGTTTCTGATGAAAAAGTTATTGATTCATTAGCTGAGGAATTAGTTGTGGCAGAAACTAAAACCCTCAACGAAAGAATTGGTGAAAACAGGATTGATTTACATAACCACCTCAAATACGATGGAGGAAGAGGAAGGAAAACTGGTATGGCTTTATTAGTAAATAAAATTTCAAATTTAACGATTATAGATGTTGATATCAATAAATCGTACAATGATGAACTTAAAGAAACAGTTAGAAAAGACATTTTATCAAAACTTTCGGATAAAGATGTTATCGTTAAAACCGCTTCAGGAGGTCTTCACATTTATTGCAACACCAATTTCTTCTATTCAGTTTCGAACAGAATGATTAAATGTTATTCCTGCAATGATTATGATATTGACATAATGACTTCTATGGATGATTCAAAGCGTTCATTAGTAGTCATGGCTGATTCAAGAGTTCGAAAGAATGCAACAGAACCAATCAATACATACTCATTCATTCGTGGAAGTTACGATTCAACATTAACTAGAACAGTGAATGATATATTAAATGATTTGAATATTAAGGTAAGAGTTGAACAGAAGAACGAAGAAATAAAGAGTATAATGAATGAAAACAAAGATGTAAACATTGACGATAAACTTGCCCAGAGCATAGTTGATGGCATCTGTGATTTTGAAGTACATAATGATGGTGGAAACATGAATTTAGAAAAAGAAGTTACATTATTCACACTGTTTCAAGCTATTAATTCGTTA